GTTTTGCATCAGTGGTTGGCCCGTCTCTTAGACACAGAGGACTCCGTACCCATGTGGTTGTCAAGTTACCAGCTGTACGCGCACTATCGTATGGCAACAGGACATGTCGGGTTTTGTTATCACACTGGCTCAAGAACATGGAACACTGCTGAAGAATACATCCATGAACATGGCTTCAATTTTCCTCGACTGGCAGCCTGGTTTCAGGCAATCTTGAAGGAATACGCCAAGCACTGTCAATTGGAGTGTGTAGCTGTGCCCAAGCTTCCATGGGGCAGTGTTTTCAAGACTTACCAGAGATGTCTGCTCATTCGAGCATCACCGCGTGACTTTGCAGCTGTGGATGATGCTTTCCGGCGCACCGGAATTGCGCATGTTCAGTCGGTTCGGACGGCCCTTGGACGCGGAGAACCCAAATTAGGACGGTTTTGATCCAGCTCAGCGGACGTGTGTCTGTTTCACCAGCGCATGACTCTCCCGCAGGCTGGAAATGGAAAAGGGTCGACACAGTTATAGTTATAGACGAACAGACTGGTAAAAGACAAATGGAATGGCTGCCAGTGACACTCGGCGACAGACCACTACTGCGTCAGGATGGCTGCGCCAGTGAACACAAGGTAGAGTTGATACCAAACCTTCCAATAAAAACGTACAACCCCCTCTCCGAACTAACGCACTGCTGCAAACGAGTGACTGCAAGTGGCGATTGCTCAGGGATGGGAGTAGCCAAAGCACGAGCTGGCGCAGCTGGGATGACTCCAGACGCCATCGCTTCCTTGGAATGGAGGGACTTGCAAACAGAAAAAGACAGATACAAAATCACCAAAATTATATAGAACAGGGGACCACGGCGGTGCGCGTTATCCTCCCAAGTACTGTTATAACATGTTATAACACCATAGGCATATGACATATGTATACATGAACGTAGACACCCTCAGTGGTGTCCATGTCCCGAAGACATATTGTGCTGGATGTCAACCTTGCAAACGAACTCTATGTATTCTTACTGACCATGTTTGTAAAAACATGCTCACTATTATGTCCTCACAACACACCTGAACGACAGACTTACGCTGCGAGCAGTCTCCGTCACCAAGCCACGTGACTAATACTACATTTCACGAAAAAGTTTCAAGTACACATACCACCCACATTCCCAAGCAACCAAGGGACCGGAATGGTGAGCCTCTCCGTACCGACGCCACCAGTTCCATCCGAAGATGCAAGCACAGTTGTCCCACCATGAAGAACATCAGAGGCTGCCGCAGCTTCCTAAGATTCAAACAGGTCTCTTGTAGATTGTGGCTTGTAATGCGAGGCGGGTCCCCCCCATGCATGTCCACCCTCCTGGCCAGGAGGCTAAGAGACTGTCAGCACAATACGTACAATGCACAGGAACAGCTGTAACATGCCGTAACCTTTTTCACATCGTTTCACTTGCTGCATCACTCTAATGCCACCAAGTTTCACTGCTTCTCATAAGGCTTGCCGGCGAAGTACGGGCATCACGAGACTCACTTGTCTCTGCCTGCGCTGCTGCAAACAAACCAATATTTCCCACGCAAAACATCACAATCATCCTGACCCCGGAAAAAAATCATCTGAATTAGCAACATAGTTTCATGTACAGATGTCATCCAACTGTAACCACTTACGACTCAAAACTTCTGCTTTTTTTTCGAATGTGCCATAATCCAATGGCACTACCACAGCCTCAGCAACAATGACTGGACCAGCAGCACTGCCAGACCCAGTCGCAGCTGCCTATGCAGGTGCAGACAGTCCCTTGCAATCAATGAAACCATTGTCCGCAAGAAAGAAGAAGACAAGTGGAAATAATCACAAAAATTCTGGGGTCTGAAATGGCTTTGAAGTGGCTTCGTGAAATGGCCATTCACTTCTTTCCACACCACAGCCCCCGCGATTGATAAGCATACGCAGCACACACTCTTCTAGCCTCACTGCTCCCCAACGACCCACTCTGCGCCATCTGCATAAGCGCAGCCTACCAGCAGAAAAAAATGGAAAACAAGGCACAAAGGAAATGTCTCTCTCATACGCAGAACCGCCTGCAAATCAGCAACAGCAACAGAAGATAGATTGGGCAACGCAGCCTGGCGCAATTCACGTTAGACAAAGGCAAAACCCCGGAGGACACCCTGCCAGCGTACCTGCAAAGCCGCAGCCAAGCCACTGTTACGCACAGAATCCATTCCACTCGAGACCTGTCATCCATCTGTCTGGCAAACACAGTATACTCAGAATCCCGATGCCATGACTGAAACAGCGCAACACTGTTTGCGCAACCCTCCAAACCCTGCGTCCACCTCCGCCGCCACTGCTGCAGCAAAGCTCGCAACGACCTCCAGGAAACAAGTCTATCTTAGCAACAAACCACTATGCCACGCAATTAATTGTTTCTGCACAGAGACATCAGCACCTCTGCGCCAGCGGCCAGCGGAGCAGCAGGTAATGTCTGCAGAAATGAAACAGAAGCACTTCGCCGCCAAAAAGCAGAACATCACAACTGCTACCCCGCCCCATGCCTCCCCACCACCCGCACCTGCTGCAGCAGGTGCGACGGCAACGGACGCTGGTTCAACCTCTGCTTCCAGATCAATCAGCAATACACTCTCAGTCTCACCCTGTAACACACTCAGGCACTCCAGCGACCAACTCCCAGCCTCCTCAGCTCCTTTCCGAGACCTCTTCCTTTTGGGCTCAGCTTTCGGATCACTCAGCTTTCGGATCACTCAACTTGCGGGGCATCATAGCTTCGAACCGCAGACCAAAATGTTTCACGCGTCGAGCCAAAACACCACTGCGGCACACAAACCCTTGCAGCACAGACCCAACATGGCCATACCCAAGCAGCATCATCCCAGAGTAGACACATACATGCAATCAACTTGCGCAACTCTGCCTCAATCATTCCTTCGATCAAACTGAAACATCAACCAAGAAATTTTGCATCATTCCCCCATTCCGACTCCAGCGACACTGCGCCACAGCCCGGTCAAAACTCCTCCTTCCAACTGGCCTAGGCACCCTGCAACCACAGGCAACTTGCTTTCTCCAACAGCTTCACTTGGGTGATGATGCATGACACATCAGATTCGAATAATCTCGACGCACACTCTTCCAATATGACACGCCAGCCTGAAATATCCATGGCACTCTGGCATGCGCCCGATGCTGCATACGTGGACTACTTTTCCAGACATGCATATCTTTTCGATACCTCATTCCTAAGCACTCCACATAAGCACTACATATCACTACATGAACATCTAAATCGCACGCAGAACTACCTTGTTGTTTTGTCAATACTAGCATGTTCGTAAATGTCAAGAACCAACATCGCAAAATTGCAAGAGCCTCAGCAAAACTGTTCACGTGGCTAATGTTGGAGACTTGCATGAAGATTTTCCCTGCAATGCACCAATTCCCTTTCTTTAAGCCCAAAACATTTGGCTTGCGCATCCTCCACGCAGACATGCATATCTTGTCAAACCTCATTCCTAAGCACTCCACATAAGCACTACATATCACTACATGAACATCTAAATCGCACGCAGAACTACCTTGTTGTTTTGTCAATACTAGCATGTTCGTAAATGTCAAGAACCAACATCGCAAAATTGCAAGAGCCTCAGCAAAACTGTTCACATGGCTAATGTTAGAGACTTGCATGAAGATTTTCCCAGCAGTGCACCAATTCCCTTGCTTTAAGCCCAAAACATTTGGCTTACGCATCCTCCACACGCATCAGTGCACGTGGGAAGTTGCTCAAAATCACTTCATCCCCCCGGCCCATCACAGCCCAATCGCGGTCCCAACAATCCCAATCGCAAGACCATTGGTATCCACGTTTCTCTTGACTCGTTATAAGATCAAAACTCAACCTGAACAGACTGTGACAAGGACATGCTTACGAGTGGACAGTTGCTCAAGTTGAGGATGATTCCAATCGCCATCCAATCGCGATCCAATCGCGCTCCAACCGCCCCAACAGTACCACTCCTACTCGCGTGGTTGCCTCAAATTGCCTACTTTTTCCCCAAATCCTGTGCCCGGACTCATTCCGAACGAGCAACCTCACCTTGCCTAGCCTGTAGCAACCATTCCAACCACATGCACCCCGGCCACGCACCTCCCTCCTCCCACCCCCAGGCATCAGCAGCCATCTGCAACCTTCACCCTGCGGGCTCCTTTGCTTCCCAGCAGCCACCTAAAAGAGCCTCATCCCAAAAGGCCCGCCCAAGCCACGCTCTTTCTTCCCTCCAACCTTCTCGCCCCATCACACACCTCGCCCTGGAGCTCCAATCCGTACGATTTATTTTATCCTTCCATTCCCTCAGTTTTTCCATTGTTTTTCCCTGGTTTTACTCGATTTCTCCATCATTTTGCCCTCCGTTCCAGTCTCCCCAAGTGCACGTCGGAGGACGGACCAGGGGGAATCGAACCCCACCGTCACCCAATTGCCACCTGGTACATCAGCCTCAAAATCGACTACCAAGGCCACCACAATTAGGTGGGGAAGTGCCTCAAAAGTGTCCATGTTTTCAGCCACCGCCCCCCAGACCCCCTATTCTCACTTCGTTTGCAATGAGCAACTTCGCCATGCTTGATAGCTGGCTTTCGTAATAAGGACAGGTTGGACTCTAATTTTAGGTCATCTTCATCAAAGCTTGGCAATGCACTTCGTTCATTTTTCTTGTTGACGGAGCTCAGTTTGGGTCTTCTTTGGGCTCAGGCCGTTTCATTGGGACGGAAAGGACGACGACAACAACAACAACAACAACAACAACAATCCAGCAGCAACAGCAACAGCAACAGCAGCAGCTAACCGGCGAGGATAGGGAACCCTTATGGCATCGCCGGTGTGCGAAGCTCTACAATATCTCTAGTAGAAGTATTTCCTTGTATTTGCCTCTCATTGCCCTTCAAAATGAGTGTCTGCATGAACACAACACCCAAAGTACCTGTCAAGGCACCTTCTACTAGGAGGCTCGTGGCCATAGGCTCTTGCTGCTTCGAAAGCCAGTGACTTCGTCGTGAACGAACTCGGCCCCTCTGCACGTGCCACACCTTAGCTTGCTACACGTGCATCCCTGGTCGCCTCTGATAGCTGCTAGCCCTGCCAGCCCCTAGGCCCTTGAAGCAACAAGAGCGAAAGCTGGGGTTGGCACCAAATATAGCACGAAAAGCACCACGTACCACACAAAAAAGACATGCACCCAAATGATCCACTCCTCATCAGCATTGCTCAAGCCTTGGGAAACAAGGACAAATTCACATAATGAAAGCAGAGTTTGGACTGAGCCAGGCGCTTATCCAGGAAAGCAGATCAGCATCGTGCGTCGATGTCGAATGCAGGGGGGCCAGAATTAACATAGCAGGAACGCCAATACCAAACATGGCCTCACACAACAGGCAATGCGTTGCTCTGCAACATTGACACCAAGTAGAACAGTGCACATGAACGACACAAAACATGAAACTCGGCCCTGAAATCTTCGAAAGCAAGGCTGCGAATGCAAGTGGCCTTCATTCCAAAGTGGGTGAATTCCAACAGCATGGTTTGGTCCATGCCCACTTCATCCATCATATCATCCAACCTGCATATCGCATACTGAATTGAATTTTCCCGTCACAAGTATCCAAAAAAAAACAGTGGATGTGATTGGAGATCACAATGCCACACATCAAAAATATCAAAATGAATGACCTGTCATACCAGGGCGTACCTCAAATTGAAACTTGCTTTGGCCCATCCAAAAATGCCGGACGGTACCATAGGCCGCAACGAAGCCTCTTTCAGCCTGGGTGAGTGGCCTTTGAATCCGTGACCAAAAGAAGACAAAAATCGAACTATCCACCCTGATGCCTCCGTTCCCCCAACCCGTTGGTTCGGCTATACCCATCTTGACCATCAAAAAAAGACATGTCAAACTCTCGCTGCATGAAATTCCAAGCAGCTCCGAGCTCAAATCGTACAACTGCGGAAAGCGTTGGTAGAGAACATGGAAGGCTGCAGAACATCCTGTAATGATGGCCAGGCTGGTCAGCAAGGCGAAACCAAAACTCTCCTCGGAAGAAATTGCTGAATTGACACGGCTTGTAGGGGGAGTGTGGCTTGGGCATCCGCTCAGTGGGAGACTCAGGAATCCGTGATTGTGTTTCCACAAAACTTTCTGCATGCGACTCTGAACTCCTCAATATAAATCGGGGGACTTATAAAGGTTTTCGCATGTACAAAAACTATCACCTTACCAAATCCACCGCAATACCTCAAGTATCCAACCTTACTTATTGGCCAAACAGATCTATATAAAAGGGATGTGTGTCTATAATCTATACAGCATATACTTGCATATGTAAATAAGTAATCATCTGGGCTCCACGTTTCCGCCCTCTATAAAATCAGACACCGCTACATCACCCGCCGACCACTGTCAAATCCATGCCATCACGAAAAGTTGCGAAAACAGATGGGTATGCTCACCAAACAACATAGACATCCCTTTGCCTGATTTGCCAAAGGGAACACTTTCATAACTCTCAAAACTGAAACCTACGTTCCACTTTCACACCGCTCCAATTTTATACAATAGCACGGGTGTTGCAAGGGGTTCTCGGAGAACTCAATTTTATAGGCCAGAACTCGCCTTCCAGGGAAAATTGCTTCCAAAACATGTCAGACTTCCCAAGACGCTGTTTAATCAAGGCCCTAGATGCCCCTTTAACAATGTCCCAATATTCTTCAAACTTGGTGCAAACATTCTAAGGTTGTTTTTTTGTGTGGTACAGAGGGAAGTCCCTGATTTTAGAGCCAGGGATTCAAATCTACACAAGCCCAATGAAAAGCTTGAGAGGGATCCCTGATTTTTTGTAGCGCTGCTCACGGATCCAATCTATAGAAAAACAACATCATTCCGACCAGTTCTGCTAAATTGAGGGACACCAGAATAATCCAGAATTGGTCATATTCAATTTAAATGGTTTTGGGGTACATACCTTCGCTCGAGGAAATCTCCAAATACCCCCTTGCCTAAATTAGAATTCATTGGTCACTTGTTTAATGGAAAAGGGGCTGGTGGGGTACCTCTGACTGACCCAGGTGTCCTCAAAAAGACAGCAACTAGTACAAACTTTGGCTCTGTATAAATTCAAACCCCGGTTGTCTAATTGGCATCCACTGGCACCGACACAAATTCGAGCGAAGTTCTGTATCATGGGAAGTGTTCTCCCTGACGAAGACCTTCGCACTCTCTCCGAAGGTGCTCATGAGCCCAGTAGCATCGCCATGGCTGCAAAGATTGGTGGAAGGTCCAACATCTAAGCGGCCCTCTAAAATGGTAGAGCAATTCGATGTAATTGGGTTGGCCTCATCTACATCGCATCAATAGCTTCAATCAAAGCTCCTGCGCTTCAACACTCGTTTGGAACACTGGATGGTGATTTCATTTAGACGTGCTCAGTACATTTTTCACTTCAGGCAGCTACACCGTTGGCTCGTCTTTCAGTTCTGCTGCGTGTTTCAAACAAAGGAACATGGTTGAAATGTGCGTTTGAATACTTTTGACTAGCGCAAGTACATGGCCACAAATGCCCTTGCAGTGGAAGCTTAGAGCCCAGAGTTCAGTGGGACTTGGTTTCATCAATCTCAGTGCAGCAATGGGTATCTGCATCAAATCTAAGCGGTGCACCTCGAAACAGGACCTGCCGGCTTTTTGGAATCTACAGGTACCAATCTTCAAGGAGTCCTTGAAGTCTTTGCCAGTATGTGCAAACCCAATGCATCTTCTCTTCCATAGCAATTTGACACTGCAGAGCCGATGCAGGCCCAGTGCTGACATCAATGTTTGCAACTGGGCATCCCAGTTTCAGATATATGTAGCACTGCCCTTGAAGCTTGCATCGCTGATTGTGATTTTTCTGGAAACGTTGGAGCCTTTGGATATCATATGCTTTGCAGGCTCAACTGCATGATTCGTCCAGGTGCGACACAGGCCGAAGCAAGCAGTGGTTTTGAGGGGCAAGGAGGTTGGTTGGGGAGACCCACATTGGTACCACGTGGTGTGCGCCAACACGAGAGTGGGCCCATGACCTAAGACAATCGGTCTCCAATTCCGTCAATTTCCAGAACTGGACCATCAGCATCTTGTACCTTGGTTTGAAAGAAGGATTGTGATGACGGCCACACAATGACCGGCTCTTGAAAAAAGTAGAAGTGACAAATTCAACTGTCCCTTGTGAATTCTTTTTCCTTGTCTCTCCTCTTTAGCATGAATTTGACGGAGACTCCTGTGTATCATGCAACAAGAAGGTGACACCAGAACACTGAAGGACTTGCTTCAAGATGCAAAACGCACTGTTGCCCCGAAACGCTCTGCGAGCCACAATGCCTTGAGATGCGATGCGAAGGACAAAATGGGTTTGCTCCATGGGTTTCATCGTACTTCACGGGAAAAGTAGTGACAAGTAGCAGCTTTACTGAATGTATAATGAAGGTTTTACATGGTTCAAGGTGCTGTCTGCATATGCAGAGATCGAGAGGTGCTGCAGGAACCCAAACGAAGCCTTGAAGTACCAGCTGCCATGGTCATGAACACGACGAGTTGGTCCTGCCAAACAGCAAGCCGTATCATAATGCCATTTTCGGCAAAGTCTCGGTTTCTGACAAAAAACAAGATGTTATGTATGTATTATATATGCCTTTTCCCCTGTGTGTGTGTGTTTGACGTTATAATACACAGTATACACATAACGGAAATATGTTCAACATTGTACATTGATGTACTCATAGTACATCGCGTCATGTTTGAAAAGGCCCAGTCCTCCAAGTGCTCATCTGCACAACCACCTCGCTGGAAGGCCAGCACAGCCTTCCGGGCCGCTTCTTCCCCCACTGCTTCAGCTGCAACACCTTTCCGTCCCATGGAATCTCCGCCAAAACAGCATCCAGATGTCGTGATGATGGCAAGCACCAAGCCGCAAGCAACACCATCGTCATTGGGAAGATCACCCTGACAGGTGAAGTGTTGAGGCAAAGGTGGCAGAGCTTCTTTGAAAACAATTGCAGCCCCTGCATCTTTCTTCCGGAGCTGTCCCTGCAAAAATCGGCTGAGAACATTTCGGGGGATCCCAGCAGAACTATACGTGACACCCGAAAGGGAGGCTGCCTCACCTCTGTCGAGCATTTCAAAGCATGGCAGTGGCCATTGATCTGCAGATGCACGAACAAAGACTTCTCCCAAGGAGCCAAATCCCTTCCGACGCACGTCCAAAGCCAAGGTAATGCCGAAAAGTCTCCGCAGCACTGGGAACAGAACAAGTTTCATGTACTCGATTGGGGGCAAAATCTCGAAACCACCTTCGCCATTCCAACGACAAAGGTTTGTGGCTCCCCTGAAGCACACCTCCACTTCAGAACCTCCTAAAGCAGCTGATCTTGAAAGCATCACAGGTAGCGCAGCTTGTACTGCGTGCGTTAATGCTCCAGAACCTGTGTTGATGACGAACGAATCGCAGTCCAAATTGGAAGCACTGGAATGAAAAGTCACAAATGGACTCCCCACAGTTCCTCCTTGTATTTTGCCGCCCGCTAATTTTGTCAGACCTTCCAAAATTGCTGCATCTCTCGGTTGTAGGCCTGTCTCACCAACAGAGCTTTTGCGAATGTTATGGACACCGACTGATATCCCAAGGACAGCCGCATATGTCATGGCACTGCGCAAAATATGTCCTCGCCCTCCTCCAAGAAAGGAACCGTCAATCTTCAGAATTCCTCCCTCCATTGCAGAGCCAGCTGGAACCGCAATCGCTGGGACCTCTGGCGTTGCCACCTTCTCCGGGGCAAGGCTTTCAACGACCGGTGACGCAGCATGAGTTTTGGGTGCAGCAAGGCTCAGCAAAATCCAGTCTTCCTTGAACTCGACGTTGATGGTCAAAGGAGCTCCAGGGGAATGTGTCCATCCAGTTTTGCCAATCACTGCAACAAGGCCCTGCTCAAGTTTCTCGCTGTGTCCACCAGCTCCAGTGCATCGGAGGCAAAAGCCTAAGCAATTTATGCCATTTCCGGAGAAACCCGATGTTATTCTAAACGAAGGACACTCAAAAAAGAATCCTGATGGGCGACAAGAGATACAAAAACGAAAAATGCCAGGTTGCGTTTGGTGAAAACACTTTCGGATCAAATTCATCGAGGAAAGAAGTCTCTACGCTCGCGTGTGTATGTTTGCATCGGATGCCCTGAATAGAAAACAAGAAAAGCAAACTTTTGGACTAAGTCTGGCTACCGCCAAATAGGATCCAAAAAATGTGATCAGCCAACATTGTGTTGCAGTGATTACATGTTAGTCAAACGCAGTAAATGTTCGATGGGATTACCAGTGGAAAGCTCGCTCCTTCTGCCTTGCTCTTGAACTACCCAATGTTCGGTGGGCAGTGAAGTCGAGTGAGCGCAGGTGGAGTTGCAAGTTGCAACCTTCTTTTTGGCCAACTGCCAAGCGATTCAATGAATAGGGCTGCTGAAAACGGATGAACACGGTAAACAGATGATATCAGATGATCACTGATGGAGAACGATGCTGAAATCACCCACCTAATTACCAATCATTTACCAATCCTATCCAGTCATTGTGATTGTTCCATCAGAGCAATGCCAGGTGGCTGGGAGACTTCCCGGAGTCTTGTGGACGCCAATGATTAAGGCACCGATATGCATGCTGCAAAGATTCCAAACATCGGCCACTGCAACGCTGCTCCAAATCACCAAGCAACTTCGGATAGGTTTTCTGCAGTAGATTCTCAGCAACATACATGTAACTCACAGCCACCTCCAAGGATGAGAAGATCTGATTGTTTTCAGCTTTTTCCATCAACTCCAGCATCAACCGACTTTGTGTCACAGGAAATTCGTGGATGGTGAGCCATACCTTGCCCGGCAATTTCGGAGGCCATCGGCAATGCTGCAGCGGCTGTGACACACGACATGTGGGTGAGCTGAGCAGGCTGAGCATAAAGTCAGATGCAAAGGACGGTCCTTCGGTGGCCAAAATGTCGAAAGACTTTCGAGACGCCGCAAGGCCCAGCTCACAAAGTGGATTGCCCTGTGGCAAGGTTGATGCAAGTGCTGCCGTACCAGCAGCCATGGACTCAACTGAAAGCTGACGCTGCACAATACCTTTCACCCGAAGAGGAGCAAACTCATAATGAAGCACAGATGTATCACCCCTTCTGTGTCGAAGCAACACACCATTGGATTGCTTTGCTGCAACACCCGGCAGCTTTGCGACTGTGATGTGCGGATCAGGGCTTTCACACAAGGACTGAATGTGATCTAGGGACACTCTGACTGCAACAAGACCCAGCTCAACATCACAGCAAATTGATGTCACAGCAATTCCCACTTCTTGACCTTCGAATTCAAGAAGCTTCTGCTCAGAATCTGCATCAAAACCCGTCCACAAAACGGTAACATGAAGATCTTCCAATTGCTGTGCTTTCACCGTGTGCTGAGCCTCGATGGCATTGCACGTTTCATTGAGCCATGGAGCAAGGTCGCTTAACAGAACGGAAACGTGCTGCTGTAGTATTTCTACCTTCCAATACAAAGTCGTCCATCTCAAACTCAGATCCTTTTCCACTTTTTGTGCCACTTGTATGGCGGAAGATATCTGCTCAGGCATGTAGACGCTGATGCATGGCAACACCTCCAAGGCACTACTCACAACCAAACTTGCTGGAAGTGACATGTCAACAGTTTTGCAAACATCAAAAGCGTCAGCTTCTTCAGGTCTGATGGGTTCCTCATCTTTGCATATCGCATCCAAGATCACCCTCTCTTGAGCAGCATGCGGTATCAGGGCTACATGTTTCAAGGATCGCTGTAAAATCCGAGCTGCACAGAGTTGAATTTCATCTCCAGTTTCAGCTCGTGCCAAACTCAGCAGAACCACTTTCAGGTTGGGAGTTTCCTCCGCGTCTCCCCCGTTCAACCCGTTCAAACTCCTGATATTCCTCTGTGCAAAACCACATGCAACTGCCGCTGAAATTCCTTCCCTGGAGCTTTTGCTGGATAGCTTGGAATCAACAAAGAGATATGTGACACTCGGCCGGGATGCCGTGGATTCAACCAATTGCAGAAAAATCTGGAAAGGGGTGACGTTTTGTTGTCCAGCATACTTCGCCTCGACCTCATCCTGACTCAGATGCTGACCGCCCAACAGATTTACCAAGGTCTGACACAGCAGCGACTTTCCACTGCCCGGGATGCCACGAACCAAAACTGCCGTGAGCTGCGACTTTTCACTCTGATTCTGCACCTGAGAGTGCGACAAAGTTTCTTAATTTGTCCAGGTGCCAGTCAACAGATACCACCATGTTCATCAAATCTTATCAACATGTTTTTTCCCGAGAGCGTCTGAGCGAAGGGCTCTTCTAATGGTGGGGGTCTGTCAAACATTTTCACATATTCACACCTTCACATAACATCTTAAAATCTTCACATCTTAAAATCTTCACATCTTCTCATCTTCACGTCTTCTCATCTTCACATCTGTTCATCTTCACATCTTCACATCTTCTCATCTTCACATCTTCTCATCTTCACATCTTCTCATCTTCACATCCTCACATCTTCACATGCTCACATCTTCTCATCTTCACATCTGCTCATCTTCACATCTTCACATCTTTACATTCTCTCTTGCTCTCTTGCCCTCTTGCATCTTCTCATCTTCACCGCACATCTTCACATCTTCACATTTTCTCATCTTCACATCTTCACATCCTCACATCTTCACATTCTCTCTTGCCCTGTTGCTTGCTCTCTCTCTCTCTCTCTCCTTCTTTTCTATTTCTCTCACGAAACGCAACCCTTTCGCGCGAAATGAAGTTCGATCACCAACAACTGAAGTAAAACTACGATTTCTAATCGCTTTCTGGCGTCCGGGCGCAACCCTTTTGCATGAAACGAGGTTCGATCGTCAAAAACTGCGGTAAAATTGAGATTTCCGGGTTCCCGTGGCAACCCTTTCGCACGAAATTAAGTTTGATCGCCAAACACTGAAATAAAATTGCGATTTTGATTTGCGCTTGTCCGAGTGCAACCTTTTCGCACGAAATGCGGTTCGATCGCCAAACACTGAAATAAAATTGCGATTTTGATTTGCGCTTGCACTCGCACGAAATGTGGTTCGATCGCCAAAAACTGAGGTAAAATTGCGATTTGCAAAGCGTCCGGCGAACTCTCTCGAACGAAATGGTGTTTGATCGGCAAAAACTGCGGCAAAATTTCGATTTGCAATTCGTCCGGCGAACCCTCTCGCACGAAATGATGTTTGATCGTCAAAAACTGTGGTTAAATGTTGGGTTTCACGCATTCTTTGGCAACACTTCTCTTCTGTGTGCAAATATGTGTGGAAGTGTTTAAAAGCTTCTGTGTGTTAAAGCATATGTGTGTAAAAGTGTTCTGTGTGAAAAAACTTTTGTGTGAAAGAGTCCTTGTGTGTAAAAGCTTCTGTGTGTCAAAGCATCTGTGTGTAAAAGCGTATCTGTGTCAAGGTGTTTCGGTGTAAACGTGTCTGCGTGTAAAAGCGTCTGTGTGTAAAGACGTTTGTGTCTAAAAGCGTCTGTGTGTAAAAGCTTCTTTGTTTAAAAACGTCTATGTGTGTGTGTGTAAAAGCTTCTGTGTGTACAAGCTTCTTGGTGTAAAAGCTTCTGTGTGTAAACGCGTCTTTGTGCAAACGCGTCTGTGTGTAAAAGCGTCTGTGTGTAAAAGCGTCTGTGTTAAAAGCGTCTGTGTGTAAAAGTCTCTGTGTGCAAAAGCGTCTGTCTGCAAAAAGTTCTGTGTGTGAAAAACTATACGAAAGATATGATGCAAACTATTGTCTTGTGTTTGTGATATATTTCTTGATACTACTCTTCTAGTCTGCTTATAATACATCTTTGATATATTGTCTTGTAATATAGTGACTCCATACTAACAACAGAAGACTCTGCTCCTCTACGCTCTCGGGCCATCCGTCGTCTAGTTTTGAAATGGCCAGTGCAATAATCTGGCGACTCCCAAAGGATTCCGTTTGCGTTGCTTCTGGGTCTGTGGCTTGCCTTGCATTCGGCCATAGTTTCATGTGGATGAGATGTCCTGAGCGGCAGGGGCAGATCATAGCGAACTTTCATAATCATTGCACATCTTTGTCAAGCCACTCTCAGGCAATTTACATAAATGATAGCTCTCTTCCATAGATGTTGTGAATGATGATGTCGCTGGCACCACTTCTACACTTTGAATACTTATCTCCATGCCCTCAAAAGCCATGGTAAACCAACCAAAAAAAAACATAGTGGGACCTCTGGCCTCTGCGCAGTCAGCCCTTTGTCGCAGATGCAGGGCAGCTCTTTGGCTCATTGCACCAAGTGAGCATGGCAGCAATGTTGGATAGACTCGGATAGACTGTTAAACAACATAACATGTTAATAAACAACATAATATGTTAATTTAACCAGCAGTAGCCAGCCTGAGACCAACCCACAGATTGGCGCTGCAAAAGCACTTCAAAATTCAGATGAACCGCTGTCGTTCTGTCCGATTCCCTCAAGATCAAATTGAACAAAGATTCGAAAGAAGGGATTGAACAACTTTGAGCCAAAGTTCCATTAGAATGCCAGGTGGCAGGAATCATTTCAGAAAGATCAGACCATTCAGAAAGATCAGAAAGGAACCATTTCACTGCTGAGAGGCAAAAACTCTTGCAAGAGCTGCAAAAGGCCAAAACAATCCCGACATTCAATGTATCGAATTTTTTTAAAAATAGAAGAATGATCAACTGCAACCACAATCATGGAAACAAATGGAAACTGTGTTAACTACGTCAGAGACGGGAAGCGTGGACTCCACTTTTGCCCAACTCTGCTATGATGCGGCATCACTTGCCAGCTATCATGTGTTCAAAGCCAAAAAATAAGTCTTATATAACGTATATATGAAATGATATATATATATGATATATGGTATATATATATATATATGAGAGTCTTATTTGATATGTCTCGTATGTGAAGCTCAAGTGACCTCAACTTTTCAGCTTTGAGCCACAGCCACGCAGCTGGTAGCTTTATCGGATTTATCGGCAAGAAATGCTTAGCTGCAGAGCCAGAGCCATGAAATTTTGGCCCTACGCAACTTTGATAACTTGGGGGACTGGATGACTGGATCGGTCTGCAGAATCCCAAACTGCGACAAGCAGGACTGGGATACAGAACACCTACGTCCAAAATCTATCCAATCACAACCTTTTGGATGAGACTTTTATCCGGGAAAATTCCCAGATCTTTTAAAGGCGACATACCGAGCAATTCACTCCGATTGTGGCCTGGGTCATACCATGCCTAACCTCACATCGAGCTTACTCCTTCTGGATAGACGGAGTCGGAGAGGATGCCGCACATGCCACAAACAGGCAAGGTTGCAGGGCCACCTTGGCAGCCAACACCTGGCACAAAATCTGTGACAGAATCTGACAGAAGCTGCAAAAGCCTCGACTCATTCAACTCATTCGGATCCCCCATCGAATTTCAGGGGAGACGTTGTGACCCTAACTCTGTATGTTACAAAAATTATTCACAAGCTTGGGGCTATAGAATGAGGTTGCTGAGCTCCATTTTTTCCCAAAATGGCCTTCAACAACCTTGACATAGGGGGAATTTTCCCTTGCTACAAAATGCCCCTTCGTTTTCAACAACTGCACATATAAGGACATACCCTTTGCTACAACATGCTTAGATTCTGATATGATAAGCTCTGATGAAGCTCATCATGTCATGCTACAAAATGCCACTGCAATTTTCATGATGGGCTAACATGATTAAATTGATTCCTTTATAAAATGAGATTCACAAGTTTAAGCTACAAAATCTTGGCCCTGGATTTCATGTCACGGCTAGCCTGACTAAAATGGAAGCCTCTGTAAGAGGCACAAGGCCACAAACTTTGTAGATTAAAATCGCAGGGAGATTCATTCGGCTCATTCGACAGCCACAGCTGTGGCCTTGCTTGGGATCATAGTCTGTGCCACAGTAGCCCTCCTCGCCCTTGTCAGAGGAATGCCGCTGCACGCGGATGAAGCCCTTCTCACCCCACCACCTCAACGATGACATTCGGCATGTACGGAATATATAAATACATATAAATACCTACAAATCTCAGAATCATGTAGACTTTCTTAGACTCAAAACATCTCAACAGACGTCTAGACTAGAGACCAAAGGCAAAATGCACTTGGTTGCACTCCACTTTTGAGCTGCACTTGTTCAGTATTCACGCACAAAAGCAAACAAATCAAACGACATGTCCCAAAGCCCAACGTGTTCACCTGCATCAAAATTCCTTGACGAGAAGCTCACCCCATGAGTTGCGAACCAACCAGTAGTCCTTCTGCACCTGAAGCTTGTTCACATTCCAAGCGCGTCTTGCACCGCATGGTTTTTCAAGAATTGAAGCAATGCAAGTACCATCTGCTTCAAGTTTCAATGACTTTCTCTGATTGAGTCTGAGCAGGTACTTGCAACTCAGCCACAGAGGAATCATGGCCGTAGCCAACAAGGAGAACAGCGTGGTTCACAGTTGCATCCCTTCGGAGCCCAAAAATGAGTTGCAGATGAGCAGCAAAAACCAATGGACCGAAACGAAAAAAAAAACATAACATGTCCTGGAATCTTAGCACCACAATCAAAACCAGCACTGGGTCAAATTTGGAAAAAGAAGCTCCAACCAAGTTGCTTCTTATGCTTTTGGTTTCTTCAGTTGATGACTCGGAGGACTCAAATGTCTGGGATGTCTTGGAATGTCTTGGTTCGGTCGTTTCTGGGTGCCTTCGGCAACCGTCAAAGACGCCCGACTCGTAGTTGCTCCAAGGCTCACCGTCCACAGAGACAACCACTGGGCCCTGACAGCTGAAGAACGAAAAACATGAAAAACCTGAACCTGAACTCGGCAAAACTGATACCTTGCAGGGACCTTGCACACCTTTCAGGACCTTTTCAGGCCGAATGCTTGGAGGAAGTGTGTTTGTCGGACGAAGGCTCCAAGCCAACCCAACGCTGTTGCTGCAAATCAGGTATTTAGCAAGATGCAAAACTCCCAGAAACTGACCATAGCCGCACAGTAGCCTCTTGGATTGCCATCATCAAAGGGTTGAGCTCATTGACTGGAAGACTGACAAAGCCTGATTCCAGGATTGATCATGTGAGGTCGAAAAAATATCGGCGTGGCAGGATAAAACGCTGCTTCTTTGGAGGTTGAAAGCAGTGGAACTGAAAAGGAAAAAACATAAACACGCGGCTGCTGACAATGTCAACTTATGAAGAAATCCTTGCTTAGCAATTGGGGGATATCCCCAGGTTAGAAATCTTGATGAATTGCATTCAGAACGGAACACCCCAATTAAACAACTCAAGACTCTAACAGGACTTTCAATGAACTATATATATTAACATATATTTGTGCATATTAGTCCATATCTTCATCATGAATAGAATATCACCCCTCGAAACCTTTTGAGTAAAACCTTTGAGTCCTCCAGTGACACAAGTGCATCTAAGATACTGCTGGCCTTCACAACCTTGGCAACTTCACCGGAAACACCAAACGTTTGGACTAACGCATTGTGTTACTTTTGATGCTGCCGCATTCCACTTGTTGCAGTCTTTGTCCTCAATGCTGATGTTCTGTTTGTTGCTTTCCATTCTTCGGTTTCTTCGCTGTTGTGGTGATTTCATTCCGAAGGATACTTCCGTAAACTGTAGAGATCAGATGCTGTTCCATAGGCATCACCCCTATAGGTTGCCTATACGTTGCCTATACGTCCAAGCAGCTGCTGAACGCATGCCTGTTTGGCAACTTCCGGTAGATTCCACATCTCCCTGGTAGGAAGTTCTCGCCTCAATCCGCTAAGTCGGTTGGTTCATCGGAGATTTACCGCATGAAGTGATTTACTACTGCGAAACCAGGTTAGCCGCCAGCGCCCAGCAGCTAAGTTTTCTTGAGCCATGAACGAAAGCAAGCACAAAAGGTTTTGTGCATGTCATCCTTGAACAAGGGGCCATGCTGGCCTTCTAATGATTCCATGGAGACACTTCTTGATTTGTGCGTGTCATCCTTGTGAAAAAACGGACATCTCACCACACTCCCCCCATGCTGTTTGACAGCATCCGGAGGTGAGAAATCCAACAGCCAAAAAATGGACAGTAAAAACTCTGTCCCATCACTGCGGCCCTACATGTCCTCCTCTTCGTTCTCCGGCAAAGCCACGTGATCACCACCACCTTCGGGTTGGTCTGTCACCAGGGAGAAATCGTCAGAGGGGTTTTCGGATTCCACAGCTTCATCATACTCTGAGTCCCCATCGCCCATCGTGGCGCCATGGAGAAAATCCCAAAGCTCTGCATCGCTGACATTGGATCTGCTTGATCTCAGATATCTCGCCCTCCTGTATTCCGGCGCTTCGTGAGGGCGCAAGGGAGGTGGAAGGGGAGCCTGAAGTGCTCGCAAGGTGGCATCGTTTACCGACCCACCCTCCCGAATTGACATAGTTGGTCCATTTGACCACCGGCTGACGGGCCCCCCAGGCCTCATCAACACCGAGCTTCCAGGTGGAATGCTGCCGTAGCTACCCTTTCCACCGAGTGGAGGCCTGGACCCTGACGATGGCCCTCCTGGATTCAGTGAAGCAGCCCCTAATGCCGTGGAGCCGGGTGGAGAAAACGAACCTCCAGGTTGTCGGAGGCCTCCACCCCAAGCTCGGGCCACGGCCGCCACCATGGGTTCCAGCTACAGACCAGCTCCCGTCAGATGACGCCGATCCAGAGACAGTGGATCCAGCGTGTCCGTAACGATTGGTAATGGTATTGATTGATGCCTTGGCGGCAGCACCCCTTTCTGCGGCTGTGGGATGCCCCCATCTTACCGGGTTACCTGGACCTCGGCTATGTCCTCCTTCTCCCGACTCCACAAAGGTCCGACGACGGCTCGAGCTCGAAACCCCAAACTGCCGAGGCATGTTCCTGCCATCTTCTTCTGGAGTCCAGACAAGTGTGTCTGGTTGGATCCGAGGCTGTTGAGAGGAGCTTCCACCGCCCTGTGAGCTTTCTCTCAAACGGAAGAAGGTCCAACCCCTCCATTGGCCGGACACCGGCGGTTGTGGAGGTACCTGTCCAAGGTACCAGTTGTCATGCTGGACACTTTTTTCCCAGCCGTGAACCCCTGACCACCATATGACCGAGACCCGTTGCGCTTCAAGGTCCTCGGTACGAACTGGGCAGCTTCGGTGTACTGGATGGAAGAGTCGGCTCCGAAGAGAGCGATGAATCCTCACCACCCAGCCCCCGCCCATGGTGATCCACAGGTCATCATGTGCCGCGTGCGGCGGTTGGTTGAATTCCGGAGCCTCCCATGGCCTGGGGCCAAACGTCAAATCAGCCCACCGAGGATCCCTCGGGGCAACCGTTGGCTGCAGTGTCCAATGCGGCCAGTGCGGGTTCATCGACCTTCGCATCGACCTGAATTGGTCTGAGCTCGGTTTTTCTCAGGCACCCTTTTTCAATGGCCTGCGCCTTCACGGCATTCCTTTCGGAATTCATTTGATGCGCCACCCAGGCTACCAAGGCCGTTATTCCCAAGGTGGTAGCCAACCGTTCCATGTCAGAAAGATGGTAACATTTCAACACCGTCCCAAGAGCAACTACTGCAGTGAGAGCCACGACCTTGAAGCCACCAAAGCTCCCCCCGACCCTTCCAAGTGCTCTTCCTTCTCTGAAGCTCCATCCACCAGTCCCATAAACTTGTAGAACTTCTCCCAGGGCGTAGCCGCAGAGATTGATTTCGTGAGAAAATCAGCTGCCAGCTCGCTCCCAGGTACATGTCTGCCCTTCCAGAGCCCCCACTGCATCCGCTCCCGTAGCACATGGCTGCGAAGCCGAAGGTGCCTTGTCCTCCATGGACCGTCTGGGGACTCCAGCAGCTTGAGCCCTGAAAGGCTATCTCCGTAAAGAACCTTGTCTCCAGACAAGGCCACCTGGTTCTCCTCCAAAATTTCCACAATGGTGGATACTGGCTCGCCCAGCACCATACCATCACAGTACCCAACCAACTCTGACTCGGTCGTTGAGAGAACTGCGAAAGGCTGCAAGCGAGAGTCCCACTGCACCGGAGAACCCCCATACAAGGCGATGAGGCCCTGATGTCCTCGCTGGCAGTTGGAACCCAAAGCGGCATCACTGTAGACCTCCTCATACTTCGAGGGAATGCCAAAGAGTTGTCTTCCCCAAACCCACCTTCACATTTTCCATACTTCAGGCAAAGCTCGGGAGTATTCAGCAGATACCCCAGGGTATGTCTGCTGTATGTCAGAACCCGACGTGGGCACTTTGATACGTTCCGGCCTAACCAGGCCACAGCAAAACTCAAATCCGGGCGGGTTCTGCAAGAGGCCCACAAAAGTTCGCCGACAATGGTCTGTGCGGCCCGAATGTCCGAGACCTGGATGTTCTCTTCCTTTTCCTCATCCAGCAAGGCAGGAAGAGGTGTCGTCTTCGGCGACAAGTTGGAGTAACGGCCCAAGACATCTTTCACGTAGGACCGTTGAGAGAGAGTAACAGGGCACCATCCTGCCTTGAAATCTCAAATCCACAAAACTTCATCCAAGCACCCGTGGAGACATACTCCGGCTTGGAGCATTTCCAGACCTCCTGAATCTTCGCCAGAAAGCTGTCGACCAAGCCTTGGTTTCCCACGGCCATCACGTCATCCACGTAGAGAGCTACATAGCCCTGAGCCACGTCTTCCTTGTTGATCGGCTCCTTGGTGGGTAGAATCTTCCAGAGATTCTGCTCCGAAGTTCTCACCAAATGGAGCTCCTCGGTTCCAAACATCCATCGAAGCTTATACCCAGAACATTGTTGCGGTAACTGGACCAATCAGCTGGGGACGATTGAAGTCCATACAACGCATTTTCGATGCGCCATAGGTCGCCTTCATCACAGATTCCGGCCTCAATCAAAATGCGAGGCGGCTTCATGATCAAGAGGCATTGGGAGGCAGCTCGGCGAGGGGCAAGTAGGAAAGCTGTGGCTACATCCAGAGATGCCACCGTCCAGTCCTCTGCAGCTGCCTTCCTGGTCAAACATCGCAGGAGAGTGCCATCCGCGCCACCAGCATAGGTTGAAAATGGCGACGACTTCTCCACCTCGATGCTCTGTTGACTCCCATCAGCCTTCTCGATCCTGTTGCCACAGATCACTATACGAGCCTTTCTGGAGCTTTTATCGTCGGCACCAACATGGCCGGCGCTCTCTCCAAGTTGGCATAGTTGGGATGCCGTTTCACTTCTTCTTCGTTGGTCACCTGGATAGCACCCGTGTCCAAGAGGCTTTTGTATTCTGCCAGTAAAGGCTGTTTCCACAGGTCCAGCTCTTTCCTCACCTGCTGCAATGGCACGGTGTAGGTTTGTAAAAAAAGGGAAAGGCGGCCCATTAGGCTGATCTTGGCCACCTTGCTGGCTATTGGCCACCAGTGACTTCAAACGAGCCACATTCTCCGAACGATCCAACTCCACCAGCTCATCCTCCAAAGTGGTGATCTGGCCCTCCAAAAACTCCAAGGTGTAGCCATGCAGCCCCCCTTCATCCTCACCAACTGCTACACTTCTGAGCTCTTCCATCAGCTGGTTTTTCCATCCCCAGTGCTCTTCCCGAAGACGCTGTGACAGTTGATCTCCATATTGCAGGGAGCAGAGAGCTCTGCTGGCACATACCCGTTGCCGATCCACCTTGGAAGCTTGTCCACAAAACCCACAGGCTTTCTCATCCAGTTGTTGAAGACCGCATCCTCGACATTGGTGCAATCCAGAAGTGCCAAAAACTGCACTACCAGAAGTTTTCAAAGTTTTCAAAGTGCTGGAGAGGTTTGTGTTCTCCCCCCCAGCCCGCATCGTATGAAGGGCTGGCACAGGTTCCTCCTCTCCATCACTGAAGATTCCTTGTGGCCACTGTGGCCCATCTTCACCCTCTTCAAGTTGAGGTGGCTCCCCCTGATCCTCTATCTCTGCTTCAGCTCCCCCAGGTTCTTCACCTTCAGAACCGTGAGCTGCAAGGGACAGGAAGTCGCCGTCAGGGTGTTGTTTTGGAGGCGGCACATGGGGCAAGGTCGGGTCCGGAGGCTGCTTACATCTGCTTACCATGGAGACGCCTGTGTGGGTGCCCTGCGGCTTGAACCTCCAGGAGCTCCATGATCGCCTGGTCACTGTTTGGGTCCGTTTTGACGGCCAGCCTAGCATGCTGAAGCTGTCCCTCGTCCATCAAGATGTAGCCAGTGGACATCAGCGGACTTGGCCCCATCAACGTCATGGTTCTGAATGGCAATGCTAATGCTCCATGCCGATGCCACCTTTTCCGTTTCACTGTCACCCTCGAGCCGATGGGGAGAAGCGGCTGTACTGGGACACCAAAGGTCGCCAGCTGTTTCCGTAGCCTCTCTTCCCCGGCGTACCGCGCCACACCGGGCCAGTACTTTTGGTCCAACCCGGAACCACTGAGCAAGAGGCGGACCCGGCGTTTCACCTGGTGGACCTCCGACTCGATTCTTCCGTTACTGGGGCCTTCGTCCCCTCCAGTAAGGGTTTGCCATACCCCAATGCGTTGACACCAGGCTTGGAAGTGTCGGGATAAAAAGGCTGTTTCTCGATCCGTGTGGATCCTCAAAACTCCAACACCAAGGGCTCGATAGCGAGAGTAAAGCCGAGCCGCCACCCGAGCCACATCAGACTGATGTCGGGATGCCAATGGTTCAACCATCGTCAGGTTCTGCACTCCCACTGGCTCTGACAGCATTTTGGCATGCTCCAACATGCCCCAACCATTTTTGATTGAGCTCTTCAGCAGCCTTGTGATCACCTCCTTGATTTTCTTCAGCTTCGTCTTCTTCCAGCTCCAGGAGCGCGTTCCATGGCACCCCTGCGATCCAGGCGTCCCGTATGGATCCAAAACTCTTGGGGCTATGTCAGTTCTGCCTCCAACTTGACCTCCAGCACGAAGTCCATCAGCGCTTTCACAGCCTCCTGAACGTCCAACTTCAGGTCTATGGCCCGCCTGAGCTCGAGCTGGAGTACTTTGCAAGAGCGATCGTTCCCCTCTGTCGTCGAGACTGGCTCTGGGATCCAAGGCCTCCATCGGTCCGCCTTGACGCTGGCCAAGCCCCATGGCTCTGGCTCCGTCCTCCAAGGTTCCGATGGGTCCACCTTGCGCCCCACGACCAGCAGCCTCCCGGCCTCCATCATCCAAGGCCCGGGTTTGGTCTCGCCCATCCTCCAACCGGAGTCGGCGGACACCAGCCACCGGCACCGAAGCCGCTCTAGTCCTTTCCTCCTCCAACAGGGCTTCCAATCTCCTGTCAGCGCCCCCTATCTCCAACCTTCTGCCCTCTCCTGCACCACGGCCAGGAGCTCGAGCGCCTTGAGCCTGATCTTCACCTGGTGCTCGTCCATCAGGCGTCAGCTCTCTGGCCCTCGAATTTTCTCTCCGCCGCAGCGTCGACAGCGACATGGTCAGAGACCCAAGGTTGGGCTCATAACCTGCGAAACCAGGTTAGCCGCCAGCGCCCAGCAGCTAAGTTTTCTTGAGCCATGAACGAAAGCAAGCACAAAAGGTTTTGTGCATGTCATCCTTGAACAAGGGGCCATGCTGGCCTTCTACTGATTCCATGGAGACACTTCTTGATTTGTGCGTGTCATCCTTGTGAAAAAACGGACATCTCACCACAACTACAATTTGATGCATCAGGCAAGTCCCTTAAGGGTATAAACTTAGTATAAAATGTATGAACCTGTTGCGTTGGATTCCTGGTTCATCTGCCGCCAAGCTTTCATATCCTGCCTATACGACCGGAAATCCACCATCTTGGGCTGATGGTGATTGTTCATACTATTCTGCAAGACTTCAATCAGTCAGATTATCCGAACCCAGCTTCCGGTCATTCTGACATCGTCCAAGTTAGTTTGGAGTGTTCTGTAACAAAGGAAGCAAATGGACACAAAACAGCTTCAAACTGTTCAACATGTTCAACAATGAGGATGGCAATGGATGGCAATGGATGGCAATGGCTTTCCATAAAGTATATAAAGTTCAGCTGTGGATCGGAAAGACCGTGCTGCGCAACGTATTGAAAGGCAAGTTCGCCAGTAGCTCCAGCACATCCACCGTCGCCACCTACGGAAATTCGCCGAAACCACAGGGCCAGAGGCCCAAAGGCCATGACAGGTCAGGAAGTCACACATGAAGCTGGAGCACGGCATAACCCCCCGTGAAAATGCACTTTTTGTTACGAATCTTTGGCTTGAATCTTCTAGGGAAACTTTTACTGGTGAATCCGAAAACTAAGCAAGAAGCTAATTGCGCGCATAGTACACTGTCGACCAGGCAGTTCAAGGGATGTTTGTCTCTTTGTGCTTTGCCTGTTCACGTGATACCATGTGACCTGCCAGTGAGAAGCAAGCCAATGCCATCTTCTCCACACATGCTATCTAATCAACAAAGCCAAGTGTCCGCAATGCTGAGGATTCTCAACGCAATCCTTACAATGGACAACATGGAAGCTGTCACACAGGCTTGCGACTCCAACAATGTGCGACCAATGAGTTTGCAAAGTTGTCAGATGTTGTTTGGATTGAGCGAACATCAGCATTTGGTTGCGGTTTTTTTACGCCGGTGCACCAGAAAACAAAGTTGGATTGACTAGCGCCAAGACACCAACAACTCCTTGTAGGACAGCATGCTTGGAGCTTTTTTATGCGCGATTTCTGCCTTACAAGAAGCACAACGGAGTCAGCAAATCAAACATTGAACGAAGTTATGAACAAACAAAGAGCCTTAAAGAACTAAGTCACCTATCAACACCTACGGGCTTGGCTTGCAGTCTTGTGCAATTTCTTGTCGTTCACAGATCCTACATCAAAGTGGCGCACGAGACAACAAAAAACTCTCTGTAAAATCTGCAAAAGCCACACTCAGAAAGACATTCATAAGACATCCAAATGTCAAGGAAATCCTCAATGAAAGGCTGTGGCAGCTGTGGCACTCGCATTTCCAAAGCTCCAGTTGCCGCTACTGCCCAGCAGGATCCACAAGATCCCTGATCGATGAAGTACCTGGTCCCAAGGTTACCTCCAAACACCACACTTTGGAAAGACATTACAAGCTTACATTTGGACATCGTGTTGCCCCACCATGAAAGTCCATGAGCGTCTAAAGAATCTAAGGATTGCTAGAGTCCACAAATCTGTCTCTGAATCATCTGCTTCTGATTCTGTCCAGCAGCTTTCCAGTGTGGGTCTGCGCGGCCCAATCGATGGACTTTGCAAACTGCGAAATCTGTGCGAACGACGTACTTCGTGTGCTGTTCCAGCACCTCATGCAGTGGTGCAATACACTTCAGGTGAAAATCATTGCGAATTCCCAGACAATTTGAAAATTGCCAACATCTAAAGGTGGATTCAAAGCAAAACGACTTGATTTCAAATGTCGCTGTTCATCTCTTGTCGAGTCACGTGCCCGTTCGCTTGAAACCCAAGCGGCTGCGAAACTCTTCTGGAGTATGATCCTCAGCAAGGTTTGGTATCCTGGAAACATGTTTTTTTTTGAATCTCTTCGCAAAATCCTATCCGTGCGGACTACTTTAAGCTATTTGCACTGATCCTGACAGATCCACGAATTCCCTAAGTCCCTCAGCAGACTCTCTGTGGTTGTTTGTTGCAACCTTGGCTCTACCTGGACAGCCTTGTGATTTGGTGTCCAACGGTTTTCACAATCCAGCGTTGATGCCAATATTATCGTTACATCTTTGCAAGGCTTATAGCAGGTGCTACATCTGTTGTACACTGTTTTTTCTTGATCAAACTAGTTCTGCGGAGGGATCGAAAACACTGAAAACATCAACAATGGCACAAAGCAGTGCTATTGAAGGGAAGGTTGAAAACACACAGTACTCAGCGATGTTTTGCCGGTCTCAAACTGCCAAAACATTGGGTCTCTTGTGTTTTCTTGACATGTTCACCTTGAGTAAATCTAGGAAAATTGATCAATGATCTTGCTGTGTTTATGTGCATGTGTACAAGCACTCCCTCTTGCAAGATGAAAAAACCTTTCATTGAAGCAAAGCGGGAATTGGTTTCCGTCCCCCACACTTTTCAGCTACATCTGCGCCAACAGGGCAAAAGTCATGGTGTTGTTGGGGTCTTTGTTTCTTCACAAATCCTTCTTGCCTAGGTTCTGCAAAGCGATTGAGCCCAGCAGTCCAGGAGCCTTAGGTTGATGGGCAGACTGCAAGATAAATGGAATTTCAAAAGAAGTACAAATCAGCAAAGCTACAACTCTACATCCAAATCACATGAACTTGGGGTTTGATGCGACGAACCGCATTCAGGGAATGCATCATATCACAAGCACCAGTGCCGGCCGAGTCACGCTGTGTTTTCCTGTTCTGTGCTGACACCTTTGCTACGGAATGCGCAAAAGCTGCCAGACGTTCTGATCGAGCTACAGTGTCGCTGGTGCGGGCCACACCTGGACAAAAACAAATGAGTGGCAGGGCCCTCTGAATGTATACCCTTTTGCAAACCTCTTGCAAATCAATGTAGATAATAAATGATAATACCTATGAAAAACTATGGTTCCCCTTGGAAAATGATCCATATGGTAAGTTTTCCATATCCGCCATATCCTGATTTTAATTTCCTGAAAAGTAATCACGTTTGAATGCAACCCCAAAACCAGATTGCAAGACATCGCGAAAGCGTGCGAAAGCGTGCTATGGTTCAAAGTCATTGGAGAGTCCATCAATTCTACAAACCACGCATGTCAGACACCATGTTAGCCAAGAGGCCATGCTGCGCCAAGAATGCTGCCTTAGTGTTCCCAGTGCTCACAGTTGCCAGGGTTCTGTAGCAGAAAGAGAAAATGATCAATTTTTCGTTTCATAGTCGTGTGTTCCTCAATGCGTTCGCATGTTTTTGGAAATGTCTAAGTTTCAATCAACATTTCCACGCCTGCGAACCCTTGTGTGAAGGTTCGGGGTTATTAGGATTAAAAACAGGCATGAACCTTCGTGCCAAAGAGCATAAGAACGCTCCAGTGAAGTTGATGATGCGAAGCTCTCAGAAATCTCGACTGATGACCTACCAGCACGGCCTTTAGTGTAGATTGACACCAAATTTGATGTAATGCGACAAAACCTGCAACATCCAAAGCTACTTGAATTGACAAAACCTCTACAATGCAGTGTACTGACATATCCACGAGTTGAACATGTTTTTTTTGTGAAGGAGTGAACGTTTGCAATGGGTAACCCTGACAACCGGCAAAAAATTGTACTTCAGTCGATTTTCCCCGCAACATCGAAACAAAACAGTTTTGTTAGCAATGGACCATATGAAAGTGGCAAACTGTTGATATGCGCTGCGGCACAGACAAAATGCGAATATGATCATATGTATCCAAAATCTGCGTTCGAAAGACTTAAAGATCACACTCAACGTGTTTGGAAGTCATTGAGTCATTGCATCATATCGCATCCCCTCCACCAGCGCCTGAGCTTTGAGCAAACCGCTGTACCAATCAGCAATGCCAGAAATTTCATGGCCTCGGTCATCTGCAGCACCATCAAGAAAGGAGTTGGTTAATTCATCCTCGGATAAGGTTTCTATCCGAAAAAACAAAATACAAACACTGCAAAAAAAAATAATCGTTTGGGACACAATTGTTGAATTGAGGCTCCAACACTCTGGGTGGATCTTCGTTAAGCAGAGAAGAGCTTTTAGCCCTCCAAGCGTTGCAAATTTGCAACCCTCGCTTTGAGCCCGTAAAACAAGGTTGGGTTGGTTTCAGATACAGAAAGGGCAGGGTGACTTTGCCAGGTGCGTTTGCCCGGTGCTTGCAGGCTAGGGCATGTAATTTTGTAGCAAACAATCATCTTGATTTGGGCACATGGCCAATGGCTGCATGATTTGCAAAGGGGCGCAACTCCACATAGAATGTCATGAACAGCAGCAGCCCCAGCAAATTTTGAAGCAATTGGCAGTTGAAGCAAATATATGAACAATTTCAATTATAATGTGTTGCAATGTATTTGCGGTCACATGTGCTTGAGGTGGGTTTCGGAATTCGTGTTTTTCCTTTCAAAAAAACACTTAGTCTGAGATGTTCAGTTCTCGTGTTCCGAGTACTGTGCACACTCGTACAATCATTGCAACGGAAGCTAGCAACCTAGATCCTTGGAAAAAAAACGCGTGCTTGCATCCATCCATCCATCCATCCATCCATCCATCTATCTATCTCTCTCTCTCTGTCTATCTATCTATCTATCTAACCCCTAGTATTTTGGACATTTTGACTTCAAAATGTGCTTCGCGCCACAACGGCGTGCGCTTTTTCGACATCTGAACTTCCAAAAGTGGCGCGAATATGTGGTGTTTTGTACATTTTGACTTGGAAATGTGCTTCGCGCCACAACGACGTGCACTTTTTCAACATCTCGACTTCCAAAAGTGGTC